AGTGCGTTCTCTTTCTCCGTCTTGACCTCTGATGCCTGTTTTGACAACAATTATGTCATAATTAATATCAGTTTGACACTTTACACAAATTTGATTTATTTTACTTTATCATAAAGTAATAGCTATATTAGCTAACATTACAGTTCAGTCTTAATCCTCACCTGCTTAGCTTGGACTGTCCCTGCATTTCCTTCGTTCTGATACCACCTGAAATGACCACATTTGAGTATCAATATCAAAATCATGCTGTTGGCAACAGCTAAACCACCAGATGTTGTGTATCAGCTACACCAGATTGGGATCATTGGCAATAAAGGCCTATTTTTAGTGCATCACATTAGCCTTATCACCCACAATCTACGCCCAGTCCATGGTTTGCTGCTTTACATCAACTATGTACATGCCTGACTTTGTGCTCTATTGAGACACAAGAAAAACACAGAGTCTCGAGTTTGAATCCAGTATAAACCACCTTTCAGACAATGTAATATTACAGGAAACTACCAGGACCAACTCATGCAGGCTATTTAGCTTTCAGGCATAACACCAATGTACTTGTTTTAATGTATGCTTAGTGCACACTATGGTAAACCATCATGTAATGATAATAATCGTAATACCAGGCCCAATATTCAGTGTTACAGTTACGGGCCGTCTCCACGGCAGCGTTAAAAAATCTTGAAACGCTTCTGCCCATTCACTTTGAATGGGGTGACGTCACTTTTTTTCGCTTTCGCCGAAATGCATTGTGGGCAGGCGAGCGGAGATTCTCAGGATTTTCAAGATCCAAAGTTGAACAATGTTCAACTTTTGAAGCTGAGGAGGAAGCGTCAGCCAATCAAATCCTGTGTACGCAAATCTGACAGTTCAAGCTCTAGCCAATCAAACGGCGTGTATGCTGGGAGAGACAGACCGCAGGTCATTTCCTCATATTCCAAAACATGGAGGAGAAATTAGCGGTAGCGAATCAATCACCCGGTGCTTTATGACCAGACCTACCGGGATATAAACCGGAGGAGCCAGGCATGGAGGGAGGTGGCAGAGACAGTGGTATGTTTTCGCCTGTTTTGGGGAGTTTATATCCAGTTTACTTCGGGCTTTTTGGCTTCATATGTCGCGGGCGGGAGATTCATGTGATTGGTTGATCGCAAAAAAATCCCCAAGCCTCAGATACGCCCACCTCCAAGATTTTTTTAACGCTGCCGTGGAGACGGCCCGTAAGGGATGTTACAGTAACGGGCCGTCTCCACGGCAGCGTTAAAAAAATCTTGGAGGTGGGCGTATCTGAAGCTTGAGGATTTTTTGCGAGCAACCAATCACATGAATCTCCCGCCCGCGACATACGAAGCAAAAAAGCCCATAGTAAACTGGATATAAACTCCCCAAAACAGGCAAAAACCTACCACTGTCTCTGCCACCTCCCTCCATGCCTGGCTCCTCCGGTTTATATCCCGGTAGGTCTGGTCATAAAGCACCGGGTGATTGATTCGCTACCGCTAATTTCTCCTCCATTTTTTGGAATATGAGGAAATGACCTGCGGTATTTCTCTCCCAGCATACACGCCGTTTGATTGGCTAGAGCTTGAACTGTCAGATTTGCGTACACGGGATTTGATTGGCTGACGCTTCCTCCTCAGCTTCAAAAGTTGAACATTGTTCAACTTTGGATCTTGAAAATCCTGAGAATCTCCGCTCGCCTGCCCACAATGCATTTCGGCGAAAGCGAAAAAAAGTGACGTCACCCCATTCAAAGTGAATGGGCAGAAGCGTTTCAAGATTTTTTTAACGCTGCCGTGGAGACGGCCCGTAAGGGACCTGGGTGAAACTAAATGTATTCAGGACATCCTTAAACCCCCGGTGGAATCTAGGGCTCAATATCAAACTCTTCCAAATTCAAGACAGGTGAAGTCCTTCTTGAGCATTTCTGTAGAAATCGGGAAAAACCCACTCATTTACACAAATCTTAGAGGCGTGTTTCTAAACTTTAATGAATACAGGTTAACAAAAAAAACAAGTTTAGGCTATTTTCAAATTATGCTTTCTACTGCGTTTTATAACAGATTAAGTTATCCCCACAATAACACACAGTAGGCTAGCTGCCAAGTGTGCTTGTGTCTAATTTTAGGCTAAAGATGTGTAAGCTAATGGGCTAGCTTAATGTTAATGCATTATTGGAATTAGCAAACTATTAAAGGTGGGGTAGGTAATTTTGGAGAAACCAGCTCGAGTGCGCTAGAATTTGAAAATACACAACCGGAAAAAATCTGCCATTTCCTTACAGAGCCCCTCCTCCAACACACACGAACGCGCACATGACCAATGAGGGCACGAGATAAATTTGTGCACAGATGGAAGGCTGACAGGCAGGTAGGCCATCCAGTTACTTTAACCGGGCCGGCTAAAATTATTGGTCGTGCTTTTTACAGTACTGGCCTACTGCTTCCACAGATGACATTTTTATATGGATTTTTTTGTCAAAGCACTTAAGATATTCATTGCTATCGGGATGTTAAGAGCATTCCATGGATTATAACAAAAAGTGTATCTCGAGCCGGTTTCTCAAACGTACCTACCCCACCTTTAAGTCAAACGTTAGGTGAACACTTTTGCTATCTCTAAAGGTAACATTTTATGACCATGACCATGTTTTTGTCAAGGAGACGCGGCTTTATGCTAATGTTAACTAACATTGGCTTAAATGTGTCTCACTTACCATTGTCGTCCTCAGTGCGCACTGGCACAGCGACGCTACCAACCAACAGGTCCTTTGCAATGGACATTTCGGCCGGAAGAATGTTTCCGTTCGGCCCTGCCTCAACCCCCTTTCAGAAATACACTTCAGCTAGCTGGCAATTGTCATGTCGGACTCATTTGACATTATACGAGATAGACCGGATATAATAAAGCCCCAGAATCACTTTTCTGTCAGCTAAAACTATCAATGTCATAGGGGGGTTAGCAGCTAACGACCAAAATACGTTCAATCAAACAGAACATGCGCGCTTCGGTATTGACCAATCAGATTGCTTGTAGGTGGGACTCCAGACCGTAAAGATAGAACGCAGGCGCACACACAATTATCCTACACACTAATACAAAAAATACATGAATAAAACCTACATTCGTAAAAGCATTATGAATAATAGAGATGGCATTTTAAACAGTTGTTTTAATACATGCATTTGTGATACATCCTGCTAGCTATCTATTTGTATAGTGTACTGTCAATTATGTTTATATTCATAGTGTAAATTATACTTACAGTGTAAAGTATGTCTTCACGAGACAAATTGAGGTGTAAGTCATTGTAGAGGATAATCAGTAAAGATAGAATTTTTTTTGGATCTTATTTTGCCTTTATCTTGTATTATAATCCCTTACATTCTGTGTAAAATCGTTTTCATTCAAATAAAAAAAGGCAATTTGGGGGGAGATTGTATTGGTCAAACCGAAGTGTACTCCGAATATGTCCTGGTGATTGGTGGTGTAATTAGGCTGATTAAATATGTTTTATTTATTTATGGGGTCTGTGCTATGGGGCTTACACAACTCACCTTTTGGGAACAATTTCAGGCAATCTTTTGAGCTTGCCTGCATACTGCTCTTAAATGGTTTGATGGAAGAGGGGTGTGATGTATTTTCATGGTGGTATTCATCAGGCGATTAACAATAGATGTAAAATGTTCAGTTAAACTATCAAACTGAATATTACATACCTGTAATCCACAATATCAATAACGGGATGGAATAAAACTAATGCTTTGCCCCATGTAAAAAAAACACCCTGTATTAGTTTAATCTGATAAGAAGATGAGAAGCTTTTAACAAATCTTCAGCAATATGAAAGACCAATAGCCCCATCTAGTGGTCAAAGAAGGCTGTCCTTACCCTGACCTCTCTGAAACCTTTGTGATTCTTTCCCTGAGGACCCAGGAACCAATATTCACTTTCGATCATCCTCTCAGCCCAAAGCAGTGTGCTGTAGCTGTCCTCACCAACACTTGTGTAGCACATAGGAACGTACATAGGGTAAAGGGAGAGGAAGTCAATTGACAGCCGCTGTACTTTAATGGCTTAGGTGTAATGATGACTTTCTACCAACAGATGTCAGACATAGTGGACATTTGCTCAACTATTAATTAGCATATACAGAGAAGAAAAAGTCAATCTAATATACAATTTATATAATATACCTCAGTTTTAAGTTGTGGAGACTGTGTAATGATGATGTTTAAAAAAATATAATACACACATGACATGGTTCAATTACACTGAACCATGAGTGTATTATTTTACTTTTAATCTAATTTTATTTAGAATAAAACCATTACATTAATTCAATATCTAAAGTTACTCGACAGCAAAGCTCATCCAATATTTGGAAAATTAAATTACCAATAGATTATCAGGAGGAAAATACTAATATTTCAAGAAAATAGCACTATCAAGACATCTGTTGTCTCAGCAGCTATAGGTTGAAATTATTTTGTCCTTACTACTTTTATTGGATTTATATCAGGTGTCTTTTTTTTCAATGGTAAAGTTTTGGTCTTAACTATTATTTATTTTAATAGTTTCAGGTATCATACATGTGTTAATTTGATTTGTTTAAATATATATGTAGCCTGGCTGCATCGTACATAGCTCACACATTGTGCAGCACATTGGTCTCACACCTGGTATGAAATGTTATATATTATTATATATATTTTTTTTTTTAAAGCTTTAATTTGCTTTGCTTCAATGTGTAAATGTGAACAGGTAGCCTGTTCAATTTCCTGTGTTTATGCAGCAGTACTGTCCACAGTGTAGCCCACTCAAATTAAATAATCAATTAATACAAAAATATCAAAATAATCAGCATCATAAATTAATATCCTTAAACTTTGTGTAGGGATTTCTTTAAAGATGAAATTATTGTTATTGTCACATTCCAGAGCAGTGGGTGGCGGTAGAGCTTTTCTTGCAGCACCTTCTTTGAAAGAGTAGAAGAAGAAGCAGGCTAACAGCAGCTAGCGCGAGCGCCACCAGTTGCTGCTGTAATGTTCGCCTGTCCAGCCGGGGTGGACTCCTCTGCCAAGGCGCTGTCCTGCACTACTGTTGCCATTTGGATAAGGTAACTAGATGTGGGGAAGCTCAGTCTGAGATAAAAAAGTCTGTGACATTATATTTTTTTAATAGTAACAGTATTTCTTCATGTGTTGTCAAGAACATAAGCTAACGTTAGCTCACTGTAACTGGAGCTGAAGTTAGGCAGTTCGCTGACTGCCATGGTGCCGAAATTCAGCTGAACACACATGCTGGACTCCACATATTGGAGTCAGAAGTAACGGTAATACGGTTTAAAGTGATTTTTAGATTAAATTACGTCCTTCAGTTTGGCATTAGAGTGTTATAAATCGGTTAAGAAATGATCGCCTAACTTTGTTAACTTAATGTGTACAACAATGCTTATCAAAGTGCACCGTTCATTAACATGTAAAGCATAATGAATATGTGTTAGGGTGCTGTCACTCTTTAGTTTAAAGGAACTATCGTGCGTTTGCCTTTTTTCTGTGGTCGTGTAGGCAGGTGTGAAAGCTATAATTCAACCAGGGCGCCGAGAGGAAGGAGCTTTCGGCCCGCAAGTGAACTCTGGTGCGCCTTTTTACGGTGAAAAGCAGCCAGAATCAATGTAGATATGTGGCATTAGTATGAATCCAAAAGTTGTTAAACTCATACTGCCACATAATGGTGTCATCTAGCTATGTGTAACGCTATCCAATCAGAAGTGTAGATTTGATAGCTCCATGTGTTCCCCTGAAAAGTGAGCAAAACAAAGCAGGCACACTAATTTGACAGCAACCATCATCTCTATTATGAGATAGAAAATGGATATAAAATACTTTAGAATAAGGTGGCACTTTTAAACTCAAACACAACTTTAAAATGAATCGATTATGTACATACAATATATCTATATCAGGAGACAGGATGACTCAGTTGGACCAGCCACTGACTGACTGACTGATACAATGCAGATACAATATCTGCTCTCTGCTCAGGTGAGGTTTAGATTCTAGGAAAGCTTAAAGGTACAATGGGTCAGAAAATAATATATAGGGTTTCTTACACAGATAGTAAGGATGTGTAAGACCCATGGAGCTAGATAAGCGGGGATAACAGCTGTACGACTAACAGGCCATGGCATTCAGATGACACTGCTGAAACAAGCCACTGTAGTTTAGTCTAGAGCAGAAGTCAGATAGATACAAGGCCAGGCCACGTCGCATCTGCTCTCAACTCCTGTGAGTCAATTATTCAAAGGCAGAAAGATTAAAGGTGCTGTATGTTAGCTCAGAGCTTGATAATGGTGTCTCTTGTCATGGTGTTCAGTAGAGTCATGACTGCACAGCCTGTAGGGCCTACAATGCAGTGCTGGGCTTCCATAGGAGTCTCCCCAGCAACATTTGACAACATTTATTTAACTGTATATAAATAAATGTAGTTTTGTATTTAATGCATAAGTTGCTTGACTCTTTTAGAATTCATTAACTACACATCCAATATATGATAACTGTGCCAATGTCTAAGATTATTCTTATTATTTTTTATACTGTACTAAAACTATGTTTTAATACTCCTTTATTAATCTTGAGATATGCTTAATTCTACTTAAAGGTGGAGTATGTAATTTATTTCAGAAACACTTTTTGTTATATTCCATGGAATGCTCTTAACATCCCGATAGCAATGAATATATTAAATGCTTTGACAATAAATACATTAAGAAAATTCATTTGTGGAAGCCGTAGTGCTGTAAAAAGCACGACCAATCATTTTAGCCGGCCCGGCTAAAATAACTGGATGGCCTACCTGCCTGTCAGCCTTCCATCTGTGCACAAACTTATCTCGTGCCCTCATTGGTCATGTGCGCGTTCGTGTGTGTTGGAGGAGGGGCTCTGTAAGGAAGTGGCAGATTTTTTCCGGCTGTGTATTTTCAAATTCTAGCGCACTCGAGCTGGTTTCTCCAAAATTACCTACCCCACCTTTAAGTTTCTTCAAAAAGACACAAGAAATAAAGGCTTTCTTTAAGAAAAACAACCCTGCTCAGCAAACTATCTAGTATGATTGAATTTACTGTAATTTCTATTTAGTTTGGATTTATAATTTAATATGTTTTTAATTGTACTCTTGGTTTAATGTTGGGACATCTTTACAGGCTTCACTATGCGGCGGGGGGAGCACGCTTCCCAGGCTTTCCAGGCCCCGGTGGATGTCCATGCCAGTGTAGATGGGCAGATCTACATGTTCAACAGGAGGCCCAATGAGTCTACTGCCTCCTCAGATGATGAGGAGCTCATCGTCATGGAGATGAGGCCGCGAGTTTCACTGCAGGAGCCGGACAGTCTGAGGAACATCCAGCTGCTGGAGCGGGAGGTGCTGGACGGGGACAACCTCAACAAGCTCGCACTGCAATATGGCTGTAAGGTAAAGATATTGAATAATCAATGATTTCTATTTAAAACAAATTGTCCTCAAAAATGTATCTGGTCCTTATCTCAAAAGAATGTTTCCTTTTTAACTTTATTGCTATTTATCAATCTAGTTTGTTTTGGGTTGAGTTCAGAGATATCAATTGAAGATATCTTCTTTTGAATATGATAGAATTAGAAAGCACTCGGCTTTGATGCTCAAAGACGCACAAAATGAATACTTTGAAAAACTCACCAGAAATGTCTCTGTCGACCCGGTTAATCAAGATAATCCACAGATCATGTTGTGAGCAGCTTCATGTAGGAATATTTATTTCCTCTTTGGTTGAGCTGTAAAGTAAGATAGCTCAGAAGAGGTATGTTCCATATGGCGTGGTTATACAGTTGGTCAGTGCACTTTGGTGTGAAAGAAACTAGCTCTTACATGCCAGGTCATGATTTGTGGGAAGAAGACATATCTCTAAGTTTTTCGAAACCTTTTTTTTTGGTACCATTTAGTCGCATTATATTTGAGAGAAGGCATACTACGACGATATCTCAATGATATAACACTCGGCAACTACCACCAAAACAAACTAGATTGGTGAATACAAGTAAGATTCCTGATTCCTTAAAAATCCTGTGTTTCTGTCAACAGGTGACGGATATAAAGCGGGTGAACAACCTCATGCAGGAACAAGATTTATTTGCACTGAAAACCATCAAAATACCTGTTCAGAAACACAGCTTTTTAACCGAGTTGCACACAAGTGACCCTCAAGAAGAAATGCCACACTCAACCCCCACACCAGTGAAGCCTCAGGACCGAGCCAGAGCCCAGCCACACCTGCAGGAGGTCACAGACTTCCTGATGGAGGTGGACCAGGATATCGAGAAACTGATTCAGAACACCAACGATCAAGATGAAACTTTTTTAGATAACTCTGAGAAACAACAAAGGTTTGGTTTCAAAGGACAGCCTCTGAAGAGTCACGGCGCAGACTGGGGCATCCAGTGGTGGAACGCTGTGGTGGCCATGCTCCTGATCGGCATCGTCCTGCCATTATTTTATGTCATTTATTTCAAAACAAAAGATAGTGGAGTAGCTTCACCAACAGATGGTGGAGGTGCTTTATCTTCCATCCCCTATTCAAACACCTCGGGGACAGGAGCCGAACACTTCCAAGAACCAGGATAAAGCACACCGGAATCATTTTAAGACTGATGATATTTAAGGTGTCAATCAAGATAAAGCCAACTCTCTTAACATTTTCACACAACACCCCCGTGTGTCAGTGACATTTTCTTTCTGTTTTATACTATATCTGTGATGCTTGAGGCAGATACTCCAATGACTGTGTTGAAGAGAAATGGATGAAAAAGTTCAAATCTTTGTGATATTTTTAGAAAACTAACGGTTCTTTCTTTAAAGAGTTGATGTAGTAACATTTCTTACAATATTACTCTCGGTTATGTTACCTCAGGTGATTTACAACATTTGAGGCTGATAAGTAACTGTTGTGTCTTGAACCTCCTCACATGAACACAGCTGAATAGTGATACTAAATGTATTGTGTGTGTATTCTGAGGGAACACATCAGCTGTAAGTATTTCTGTGTGGGCTTCACTACAACTCGCCTTTCTATCATTGCCTTTTGCCAGTATCAACATATCAAGGGTCATCATATCATTGTCATGTATCAAGCATAATCATGACATCTGTCCAATACAGTAATATATATATTTGCAATACTTTATAATATGAAAAATGGGAGAAAAGTGTATGAGGTTAAACTATATTTGACATGGGTTTGAGCATTTATTGTGTGCCTTGATTGAATTAACTTATTTGTGGCTGTGTTATTGTCCACTCATTGCCATGAACATCATGCCTCTCTCTGGGTCTGAATTCAGTGCCAAAAGTGTAACATGTGTTTACAGTAAGATGTTGGTACAATATACTTTATATTTTACATTACATACATTTTACGTGACATAAAAAAGTGCCTTAAACCTTCATAGTTAGGTTTGTATGGTATTAAGTCCACCATGAGCAGGTGGTGAATTTGTGTGCCATGTCCAAAGCACTTTTTAGAGTCTAGTATTGAAGCTGGATTTTGTTTAAAAATGTTCAAGTACATTTGTAAACTAATTGGTGTGCAAGATGATTTTTATTCAGCATGTACCTACCTGAATACAAACCTAATAGTGTGAATTTAATCTCTCACAAGTTGATGTGTCTTGTTTATTGTCTGATGTTTTTCCTTGTCAATTCTTCCTTATTTTATAACACGTGTTTATTGAGATTATTCACAGACACGCAATATACTAGGATAGACTATTCACTGACACCCAATGTAATTAAACACTTACTCACATTTTTTTTAGTATATCTTTAATACAGGTTTAGTTTTGAGAAGTTGCAGTACTCACAGTTACCAAAAGATGGCAGCATGCACATACAATCCTACTACTTGCAGTTGCTAAATGAAACTGCATTCACTATGTGTGATGTCAGAATAGTCATTTTGAATGATGATAAACTACCACTAAGTTCTGTTAACACTCGCATGATATAGATCTTGTGAACAAAATATCAGTAGCCAATAGTAGCACTGAATATCTATATATATATATAAAATGTCTTTGTACTTACAGTAAAATCCAAAGAATACAAATGCAGTATGTGAGGAATAACTTCAATGTTACAGATATTTAGAAACAATGCTCAATAGTTGCAAACCCATTGATAAACATAACATTTGAAAGTGTCTGGCCCCCGGATGCTCGCTATCATGGGGTCTGAACCTGGATATTGTGTTTAAAAGATAATACACCCAAACACTGCAAACTGTTTGTACTCTACATGTAAAGCCAAATCCTTCTGAGACCCATCCAAAAAACATGTGTTGACATTGAGGGGATACAACCTATATTAGTATTTATCAGATTATGTTCTCAAATGTATCTGCCGTACACAACAAAAACAAAAGCTCCTTTTCACATTAAGCATTCAAGTCGGGTACACTGAGGCCTACTTAGAAACCAAACTGTGATTTAGTGCTTTGACAGAAAAAGTTCTTTAACCTATGGGACTCAAAATGTTCTTTGTGATGGCAAAAGCTGATATTCTTCAAATAAAATATGAGATAGCTCTGATCTGTAATATGACCAGCCAGAGACAACATTTAGAAAACTTGACTCAAGCGTTTGAGTTTTTCTGAGAGTCTGGAACAAAAGTTGAGTAGTTGAGCTCTATTGCTGCGGAGGCTCTATGCCTTTTATTATTCTATGACCTGAGACCCTCCTCTCATAACTGCAGCTCACGAACCCTGCTCTGATCTAGCTCCAGGCCGCACTGCGCTGGCGTCCTGCCAGCTCCCAGGCTGAGTCTTATCCTACTGTTGACACATGCCCCCCTTTTTCTCTTTTACCTCCAACCTGGACACTTCTACTCCCTGCCTTTCTTTATTTGATGGAATCCACATCAAGTCTGCTCCTGTAGAGGACATATTTACTAAATATAATGGAGCTCTTACCTTCAACAATCCTAATATGGTGTGTCTGATTCTTACCATGTCAATGGGAGGAAGGGTTTGGCTGACACATTAGTCCGAACATTTCATTCAGATGCAGAACACTTTATGGTCCATTACAATTACATCAAATTGACATTTGAATCACCTGAGGGGGACTTTTATTTGTATATTTAAGTTGAAAATGAGTTACTCTACCTGAAGTATATGTACAGTTTGCACACTGTAAGGGGGTGCTCTGGTGTCACTGAAAAGCTGGTTTTTAATCCAACACATTTCTTGGGGCAGAGCGTGCTTTTTTGGAGGTGGTGGCTGAAGCGGAGGGGGCTTTCCCCCTGAACAAAGCACAACCCTCCATACAGTCTGGGTGGAGGGTAAATACAGTGAAAAGATTCACGAGCAACCCGAAGCTCTGCAGCTTTAAGAAGTTTGCACACTTGAGCAGCTGGCAGCGGGCCACTTGGCCAACATAAACAGTCCTAATCCTTTTTCCAAGGAGCTTTCAACACTCATCTCTCTGGCACAACGGCCACCGACTCACTCTCTCTCTCCCTGACATTCCTGCCTGTTTTCATTCTGCACTGCCGTCACCAGGAGGCGCTGTGGCCCTTACAATGTGAACGCTGTTGATCATTATTCACTGCTAAGGTATGTGCCTTCCTTTGATTTTCCCCTGAAGCGAAACAGGTCTCAGTTTTCAATCTTAGTGGGAATGGAGGCTTAGTTTCACAATGTCATGTTGACCTGAAGCCCACAGAAGTATGGGTTGCTCCTACAATTGGTGTTGACAAAAAGTAAACTGTGAACTTTCATATGGTTTCTATTCTTCACCACCAGGCACTTTTATATAAATCAGCTTTTGGTGAAAGGTTGGCAGAATTCTTTTTTTTGTGTTAAGCTTGTTGGAATCAGCTTTTTGCTGAAAGGTTATCAGAAGTTATTTTGCACTCATGCCAAAATAAATCATATTTAAGAATTACAACTTTAGAATTCAGACCAACTAAAATACCACAGTATATTCTCTATATTTCTGAAATAAAAACATGTGTTTTAGAGTTATAAACATAAGTACAGTGTGATTGCTGTGTGAGTGAGACTGAGGTCTGTTTGAATGGGGGCAGGGAGATCCAGGGTTTTGATTTCCTCAGCTCCCGGGGGGATTTGGCAGACACAGGGTAATTTGTAGTGAAATTTCCAGCGCAGTTTGTTTTGCAGGTGGCTGAGAACGAAGGCAGGGCGTGGTGGGGAATGAGAGAAGCAATTTGCTGTCTGTGGGCTGTGAATGTGTGTATTGTTGCACAGCAGTAGGTTTAGTGTTGTGCTGGTATGTGCTATGGTCCAATGGAAAGGAGGCAGCAGTACATTCTCATGGATAAACAAAAGGATTGTTGAAATATTAAATACATTTTTATTGGTGAATTCCTTTCCAGTAAATACACAATATAACTATCTTTGTCTGGACAAGTCAGTTCATTTTGCAAAGAGAAGATACTCTCTATACTCTACTCTATGAAAAGAGTATTTCAGTTTGAAACACGAGTCACAAAACAGGGGGAAAAACGAATTCAATATGTGAAAAAGATCACATGACAAAGCAACATGAGTGTATTCGAAGCTTCTCGCCAGAAGACATTTCAGTCTCACATGCTTCGGAGTGGATTCAATTAAAAACTCTTCTCTTTGAATCCCCGGCCAGAATTTCAATGTAGTAATCCATGCCAGATGTTACAGCGCCACTTGAGGAACACACAAGGTGTCAAGGAAAGAGCAAAGACTGTTACATTTGTTTTTATCAGCAAATCTTCAGTCCAATGAGAAACATGAATTTGTGCTATGAAAACTAATCCTGCAGAGAAAGCTCAGAATATGCTATCAAGGAATATTTTGACCAGCATAATTGGATTCCTTTTCACATGTACATGGACTCTGGATTTGAATGAGAATGCATAATATATTGCAAGTATGCTGTATGTCATCCCTTAAGTCTGACTGTGTAAGTGAGGATCATCTGGAGACACAGATGGCTGGAGAATGTGATGTTCTGTCACTCATGTTCCTGCAGGGGCGGCTGTTTTTCTTACGCCCCCGCTGTTGAGGAACCAATTGTGCAGCACCTGTTTTACATTCCAGCCGAGGTTTGAGGGGTGTTCACCCCGAGGGACGCTTCTATAGTCAAACTAACACCGACACAGATATGTATGGAAAAAAGGTTTCTTTAGTCCCATCATTATTGTAGTCTCTTGAATCTTTGCGACACTTCCAAGACATCAGTGTACGTGCTGTAGTCAATACGCAGTATACGTCTTCACAGAGTAGTATTTATACAATCTGTGTGTTATAATGATTGTTGGGAGATTGAGAACTATCTTATATTCAGCTAAAACATTTCTTGTGTCCACAACATTGTACCTCAACATTGGGTATTGATATAAAGGATATTAAATAAGACATTTAAAGTGGTGAGATTTGAATATGTGTGTTTGAAGATATGGTTAAACAACACATATTTCACACATTATTGTACGTTTTTGTGGTATTCATTAAGGGAGCATACTTTATCAACAGATTTTGGTTAAACATGGAAAGGAAAATAAAACATTATTTAATCATTTTAATATGATTTTTTTCCCGATGTCCAAAACTGTAAGAGAATCAGGCTCTCTGCTGTGCTCACATTCTCTTTTCATCTGCAATGCAACAACCGTACTGATTATACTATTGTAATGAGAAAAAAAACACAACAGTGCATACATTTAACACACGTACTCCCTTATCAGCGCTATTATTGTACTTACAAGTTTACTGCAACAATAATAAATATATAGAGTACTATTGTATGTTGCAATATAAACTTATACCGAAGCAAATGTGTAAACCTACTTGGTAATAAAACTGATTCTGATATTACTTATAATACATATTAAATAAATAAGCATACATTGAAGACAAAATACTGTGTACATTCTATGTGTCTCTTTCAAAGACATTAACTGATACATTGTGAATACAGTTGTAGCTTTTTACACTTTTTACTAGGAAAATACATGAAGCAACTGAAAAAGCTTGTATTTTTGCAGAAGAGGATCAAGAATTCATAAAAAAGTAAGGTTTCTGTTAATGTGTGTCACTAATTTAGATTACACTTTAAAACGGTATCTTCAGAAGTGGTGGTATACTGAGATCATATACTGTCTCATATACCGTCTCATATAAACTCCATTGTGTCCTTGTTGGCTGCAAAGGACAATGTAAATTGTTGGCAGGGTGAGCGAATCCACTGAGACAGGCATGGATGAGGAGAGGATAATGGGTTGGACATGCTTCTCTAAATCACTGGATGCAACTCAACTGAGCACCTGCTTGGCTCAAGACACACAACTAGACGCTAACAGGAGGCTCAATATGGATCTCAGTCCTCTGACACTATATTACACCTGCCATACTGAGGAGGTTATCCCTTACCTGCAATCGCTAACAGTATGCCTCAGAAGTTACCCTAGCTATACTTGCAGAAACATTTTCAATAGAGGGAAAACAAAGACTTTGAAATGGGAAGGAACCGTTAAATCAAAACGAGTTTATAAAATATAGATAGAGATTATGATTAACAATGCACCAAGGACTCTTTGAATAAATCATAAGGTTATTACAAGAGGTAATCAGGTGTACATTGGTTGAAAAGAAACTGAGTGA